GGTAGCCGGGCTCTGCTCTGTCTCTGGGTGCAGCAGGACCCTCGGCCACCGGCTCCTCTGGGCCCCTGGGGGTCCGATGTCTGTTTGAAGGAGACAGGCTCCGGCCCCTCCTCTTTTCCTGAGTGTCACTGTCGGTCCTCCTCTCCACCTCTGAACACTTCTTCATCGTCTCTTCCTCCTCCCTGTCTTCCTCTTCATCATCAGAGTCAATGCGGTTGAGTCTTTTGCGGACTGGACGATCCTCCTCTGATGAAGACTCAGACTCTTCGTCCTCCTCTTCGTCAGTAGAAGGTCTCCTCTTCTTCAGCATCTGAGCGAGGCGCTTGCGTCTCTGCTGGGACAGGATCTCCCTCCTCCTCCCCCGACCCATCTTCTCCAGGTCCTCCTCTTCTCTGTCCGTCCTCTTCACCCTCTTCCTCTTGTCTCTGTCCTTCTCTAACCGTTTCCTTTTCAGCCGCCTCCCTCGCTCACGCTCATCCTCCTCGTTTCTCCTCGGCCTTCCTCTCGTCCTCTTCCTCAGGGGGTCTTCCTCCTCTCTTCTCCTCTTGTTCGCTCTTCGTCTCCTGTCATCATCATCTAGGTCTTCATAATTGTCCTCCTCTGAGTCTCTGGAAGACGGTGTGACTAAAACAAAAGGAAAGAGGGAGTAATAAAACGTCAGTAAAACTGATGAGGTGTCCATTTATCCTTGTGACAAATACCAACAGCAGGACTGTGAAGAAGAACATGAGCAGCCTCCACAGATTGATCATTACTGTAGCCGTTAGCTCTGCAGCCCGAGGGGGTCTCTCCGGGTCATCTCCACACAATACTGAAGTCCACGTGTCAGCACTGTGAACCTGGAAATGTTGAGTACCCCAAAGCTTTATGATAGAAATTTTGTGTAGGGTCCCCAGCACATAGAAACTTCCGGATGCTAGCCGGCAATTTGCATAATTAGCAAACATTTAGTTAATTAGCATATGCAACCAATAGCTTAAAGATGGTTTGGCCAATTTGGACAATTTGGAGGTTACTGAGGATATTAAATACATTTCAGTTTTAACCAGGAAGTGGCCATATTTGTATTCACGGTGGGGTGATTTTTATGAGCTTTGGGCCGATTTATACATTTTAGGGGATTCCATACTGCCATTTTTGATCCTAAAATGTCAGAAATGCATTCAGCATCCTCAATAACCTCCAAAACCCGACCAAAATTGTCCAAATCGGCCAGGCTATTTTTTAGGTATTGTCTGCATATACGAATGAATGCAACTTGTGCTAATTACCCAACATGTGCAACTTGTGCTGGGGACCGTACTATACATTCTAACATAAAACTTTGGGGTCCCAATATTTCCGGGTTGGTAAGAGGACTCTATGGGCTGACAACTAGACTACTGTGTGATGCAGTGTGTGAGGACTGACTGACCGTCGCTGTAGTCGCTGGAGAGATGCTCCTTGCAAGGTCTGCCACGGGGTCGGACCCCCACCTTCTTGGCGGAGGCCCGGGAGGCGTCGGAGGACTCGGACGTCTCGCGGTAGTTTACCTGTTGACGCTGGCCCCGCCTCAGGCCCCGCCTATTTTTGTCATCGTCACTGTCAGTCATGTCGCTGAACTGATCAGAGCCTGGAGAGGAGAGAAGACCCTTACTCAAGTGTTTTATCTAAATGACTCTTCTTTCCTCTGCTGAACATCAGGGTAGACTGAATATCTGGGGGCATTATACTGTTGGTAGTACAACACCTTATTCTCTGGGAAATGAATCAGTCCTTATTACAACTTCTAAAAGCTATCAGTTGAATGTTATGCTTTATATATGCCTTAACACAGCTGCAGGGGCTTTCCATCCATCCTTTAAGTATTCATTCCATCAGCTGGAACAGCTGGAACAGCTGTGTTCTCACAATATCTATTTTCATTTCATTTCAAACCTTTATTTAACCAGATTGGTCCCATTGAGATCATAGATCTCTTTTTCAAGGGAGATCTGCTTTTAGATTTCATCAAACACAATCAGTCTACTCTGCAAATGTAATGCAAACCATTCTGTGTTGCAGCGTGGAAGCCTCACCCATCTCTTCCTCAGTCTCCTCCTCTTCCTCTGAGGAGCGTCTTCGTCGCCGTCTGAGCCGCTTCCTGCCCCGCCGCTGGGTCTTTCCAGGGCGGGGCTTAGGTGCCCCCCTCCCTGCCCGTTTAGAACGCGACCCGATGTCTAAGCTGTCTACATCGCTGCCGGCATCTTCATCTTCCTCCTCATCATCATCAGGCCCTGACGCACCAAACTCCTCTTCCTCTGAGCTTTGAGGAGGAAGAGGAAGAAAACATGAAGCAAACAAATGGAAGAAAGTATGTGTGTGTGTGTGTGTGTGTGTGTGTGTGTGTGTGTGTGTGTGTTACCTGTTGCTGAGCATGAACTCGTCTTCACTCTCAGCTGCCGTACTGTCGCTCTCCAGGTCATTCAGTCTCCGCCTCTTCCTGTTCCTGGCAGCGTGAGCCTGGCCTCTGATTGGCCGCTGGCTCTCCTTCCCTTCCTCGGATAGGATGGCTGTGAGGTTTCTACCCCGCCGTGCTCCTACATCACAACAGTCCAGGTTAGAGCAGATGGTTAGATGTGTTCTCCATCATCTTAATGGGCAAGGTCAATGTTTGTGTAAATATCAGTTTTATTTCCTTGAAGTAGAAAATAGGCAAAAATTGAAATCATCAATAAAAAAGGGCTATCCGTGCATCCCTAACAGATACATACAGAATACATGTAGAGATGGGAAGTCCAATGGTTCACTGAGTGGATTTTGGTTTATGAAATCTAACCGGGAGATACCAAAAGGTTCTAATACCTACTACTTATCTTACTATAGGGATTTATTAAAGGAGGAATATAGATTTATTAAACCATTTAAAAATGTTGTACAAACATTAAAAACATCCTGTAATTGCTCTTCACACACATACAGCACGTTTTAACTGTGAGAGCAGGACGTGGAGTCAAATACTGGATGCATACATTAAGGTGTGTCCGTGGTGTTATGCCAGTTGACTGTAATGACCGACTAACACTCATGCATCATTAATGCAGTCTGGAGGAAGAGATCTCCTGAATGTCATCATGTTCAGATGCAGAAACTATAAAACCGAGCTTCTGTTAAAACGTATGACTTCATCAACATGCTCCTAAGAGCTGCTGTCTAAGGGTAGGAATAATAATACAACTTTTAAAATAAAAATCTTAACATATAAACGGTGTTTCTAATTCTGCAGATAACCTCATCACAGCACGAAATGTGCCACATGTTCCCCCCCTCCCCTCACACTCACCCCCACAGAGGTCCCTGATGTCCTCATCTATAGCCTCATCGATGGCATCATCAAAATCATCAAACCTGCAACACACATTTCAGAGCACCTTGTTTGTGTGGCAATATATTTGGGTGAGACAGTGAATGCAACAGAACCCCCCACGCCGGCGGCACCCACCTGTAGCTGATGTGCTTCCTGGTTCTGGTGGATCTCCTCCCCAGATGTTTGCTCTTTTTGGGATCTTTCTTCTTTGTGGTCTTCTCCTCTTCCACCTCATCCCCCTCCTGAACAGTCAAGAAAAGTTGTAATCTTGATCTGTTTAATAAGGGCTCGTATATATCTGACATCAACAGATGGGCACAATGTCAGGTCAGTTTTTTTCTAAGACATTAGACAGTGTCATAATGTGTTAGTTTCAATGGCCAGCTTCATTGTGATAACTGCAAATTCTGAACGTTAGCAACTCCAAAGTCAATCTTTATATTTAAATGTTAGTTTTGGACATTACAGAAGACAAGATGACGTGCTGGACATTACTCACAGGGATGATGTTCTCCACACTGATCCCCACGTACACCAGACGCTCCCTCCTGGACACACAGGGAGAGACACACACACACACCATGTTCACTTTAACACGTGGAACTACAATTAACAGTATATTATTTCATTATACATTCTGTTTGTGTTTATCCTATTCTATTAACATGAATATAGAGTCCTGCATTTATTTTTTACTCTTACGTTCTCGTGACCTGTACTGTATATAGTTTACTTCTTCTGCATGACTTGCATATCGGTCTTGCACTAATTTATTCTACTCTGTTTCTTCTTGCGCTATTCGTATTGTTTTATGTCTTATAAATACTATGTTGCATTGTTGGAGGAGCCTGGTACTTCAGATTCTCATTGACATAACTACACTGTAGCTACTGTGTGTGTGTGTGTGTGTGTGTGTGTGTGTGTGTGTGTGTGTGTGTGTGTGTGTGTGTGTGTGTGTGTACCTCCTCTCTGCTCTCTCTCTTTTCTTCAGAGCACTGTCCAGGTTCAGCAGATGCTCCTCCAGTTTCTCACACAGCAGCTTCTGCAGGGAGGAAAACAAATCAAAACCAATCAAATGCTGGAAAACTTGTGTTAGTGAACATCAACACTCTTTCATACCACTGAAATGTGTTCCTAAGCACCGAGTTTTGATTACTTTCTGAAAGCTGGCATTGAATGTCTGTTCAAAATAAAAATATGATTCGGTGGTTATTTGATGAAAATATTTCCTAATTTATTTGAAAGCATGAAATATTTGAGCACGTTGTTGTCATTTGTTAAATTAATCTCAACATAGCTGAGCTAATATAGCTTAGTAGTGTAGTTCTTGTGTTGTATTGTCTATGTCAGGGCTATTCAATTGGCGGCCCGCGGGCCAAATCCGGCCCCCGGGTGATATTTACTGGCCCTTTGAGTATAATGTTAAAAAAATAAAAATAAAAGTTTAATT